GAAAAGTGAATTATTACGAAATACTAATACAGTGGCAGCACTATAGCAATTTTGGAATTTTGCGTTTCAGCACGCAAAGATTGTCAACTTCTTTTTAATAACAAAATAATCTATCTTAGGTTGATAAAACTATGTGTTTCTTTAATAAATAAGTTAAATTATATATTTTAATAGTGTTTAAAAAGTGAGAACAGGTGATTTTGTGAACCTTTGTTGGTGTAATTGCTCATAGAAAACAACGACATTTAACAAAAGTTTTTTGTTCATAACTTTTAAATGGTTATTTATATTAGCCCCCCCCCTCCGAATTGTTATTAGGGGGGCCGAAACGCGTCGTTTGGTACCCCTCCCGACTTTTCCGCACCTTTTTTAGGGGTTGTTACCCCACCCTAGAGAATTACCAAAATTTGTATTAGATAAAAACTGTGAAACCATTTTATTTGCCAAAATAGGTGTGTTAAAAAGTTATAATTTGCGTTTGTATATCATAATAGTATCCACTGCAGGATATTAATCATGGAGGAAATAATTGCTATGTCCGCGGCTATTGCTGTGGAGCAAGATGAAATTATACAGAGAAGAAGACTTCTGAGGGAACTCCGAGACTACAGTTTTTTTGAACAGTTTTTAACCGTTGCAGTTCGGGGTGGTCTTTACAAAACTGCAGCTGTTCTTGTGTGGTGCGTTCATATTTTCCACGCCTTTCCATACACAAATTTATAATAAAATGAAATGAATTTGCCTATTATAAAATTACTTTTACTCGCAATAGGCAAATAAAACGAGCTTTTCGCTTGTCATTATTGACGGTGCGTTCCTATGACTACAGTTGATAACACGATTGTGACAATTGACGGCTGTGACAACACGCGAATTGGGCTATAAGTATCGAGATAGTGATCGCCATTCGTGGTTATTTTCCTGCAATCCGATTCGAATCGGAATCGGATTTGTTTCCGATTGTTGGTGTTCTGCATTTCGACAATCGAATATTATTTCCGATTCCGCCTTGTTCTACATTTCGATCCACTTCGAATCGGAAATTCTTTATCGGAAATATTCCGATCAAGCCAGTGGAATAGAAAAAGAACAAAACAAAAAAGAAAAATATAAATGTTAATGATCAAAGGAACATTTAGGTTGTTCACACTTGCTTGGTTATCAGGTTATCTGGTTAAAAATTATTATTCTGTAGCGAATTTTATTGTTGTAAACTGAATAAAAATATAACCACATAAGAAGATAACCTGGCAAGTGTGAACAATCTCATTTTAAACTTCAGCGAACATAAGTAAACGAATTAAAATTGGTAATCGTTAAAATGAAAAAAATATATAAAATACAAATTAAACTGCGACAGCTTGATTTGGAGCTAGATCGTTTCAAATTTGAAAATAGTAAAAAGTATTAAAATGTTATTTTTTTGCGTAAATTTATTGTTTAATTACTAAACTCGTTTTAATTAAATAGGGGTAATTTTATTCGTAATTTCGTATCCAATTATTTGTACTTCAGTTTTCAAATAAATTTCTGTTGGTGCAAATCAACTACTTCACAATCTACAGACTTCCCTATCGTTTTCTTCAACTCCTTCGTAGTCAATTTCAGGACTGTAGTGGCGAACAATTTTAAGCAGGCAACACATTTATTAATTATTTTCACAACCTCTCATAGTTTGTACTGCGAGGTTATTAATAAACACTGAAAACGACTTTTGAGAACTCCAATATTGCGTGCTGAAGAATGTGTTTGATTAAATGTGTGTTGTATAGACCGTGACTATGGATTTATATACGGTGTCAACAGAAAAGTTTCCAGAGCATACCCGGCATCGTCCAATAACCACGAATGGCGATCACCATATCGATACTTAATCCCCAGTTAATCATCGTTACCTACATCACAGACTCCATGCACGCAACATTATGTCGGTAACGTCGGCAATGGTACGGTCAAAGAACGTAGATAACAAGAAGGGACAACACGTTATAATTGTGGCGAAAGTGCGCAACAGGGGCGTTCCTTCTCTTTTCATCCAATCAAAAAACGAAGCAAAAGAGAAGGCACGACCCTGTTGTGCACTTTCGTTACAATTATAATGAGTTGCCCCTTCTTGTTATTTACGTTCTTTGGTACGGTGCTCCTTCCCAAAGCGATGTTGGTCCAGTGATGCCAGATTGTGGGTAATTTCCCTATTTGAGGGATATTTTGCATCAAAAATTATTAAAAGGGAAAAAAGGGACACTTCATATAAATAAGGGATTTTCTTTTGACGCAGTTATTGTTGCATAATTGATCAAAATTCAAGAATATTCGACATTCTTACGTAATTAATCGTTCTGAAGATGTGATGTGGAGTGAAATGGTATATAATTGTTAAAAAGTATAAGGACAATTTCGAAAATTTTCTTACGTTAACCAATTCAAGCGCTGAGTAAGAAAGAATCTTTTCAGTTGTAACTGGTGTTTCATGTAAAAAGCGGAACAAATTGTCTGATGAAATGTTAAATAGCACATGAATGTGCTTCAATTTTAAAGTCACCAAAAAATTCTTTTAGGCCCTTAGTGAGTGAGCAAAAAAATGAAAGGGAAAAAATGAATGAGTGAAAAAAATGCAGAAAAAGGGGTTTTTTCTTAACAGCTGTCGGCCCTCGACAGGCATAGGCAAACCTCCGAGTGTATTCCTGCCATGAAAAACAGCTTCTCATAAAAATACACTCGCCATTCGGAGTCGGCGTAAAACTGTAGGTCCCTCCCCTTTGTGTGACAACATCAAGGAGACCGCCACAAATTGGAGGAAAAGCACATATGTGTAAGCGCCAAACATTTATTATTATTTTATATGAATTTTACTTCTTTACTACTGAGACATGTATATGTTTAAATTCGTTGGGAATTTTGTGGGATAAATTTTCAAGATTTAATTGAGGGATTTTTTCCCCATTTCCGTGGGATATTTAACAGAGAATGTCTGGCATCACTGTGTTGGTCCATTCGCTTTGCTCCCAGAAATGGAACTTTTAGGGTACATAAGGCTGCAAGTCACCCAAAATCTTGAGGAGTGCAAGAGAGCTGTAAAATATAAAATTATACTTTGAAACAGCTAAAGAGAAAACAGTTGTTTGCATACCACTTACGCAGAGTCCGGTAATTATATGAGATTGCTGCGATCGCGCAATATTGTTTGCCTCACTTTTTCATTTGGTTGCGGCTCATTATTGAGCAAAACAGCTATTAAAACCATTGACTCATTTAAGTTTTCACTTTTTAATTTCTCCAAATGAATTTGGACATTTCAGGACTCAATTGACAAGTAGGAGGTTTGTTCCTTTTTTTTACAATCGGATTCGATATTAACTTCTAAACAAAAGTTCCGATCGGATTGTGGAACACCATTTAAATTCCGAGTCAGAATTGAATTCCGATTCCGATACGATTCCGACTCTGATTGCAGAACAGGGCTGATATATAAGCATTAGCGCATTTTAGCACTTTAAGCAAAATTTTCAGGCCAATAATATTGTAATGAGCATAAAAATGTCTGGTAACACAGGTAAAAGTGAAAGTCTGTGCATTTGCTGTGTAAACAGACAAAAATTAGTATCGGAAAGTTTGATTTTCGGAAATAAAAACTGCTTTCGAAACTCACTTCACATGCAAGGTGAAACTCTTACTGCAATCACTTTTGGTAATTATTGAGTTTGACGGACTTTTAAAAAGGACTTGCACTTGCCACGTCTAACTGTCATACCTAAACAAAAGCGTCAACGTTGTTTGGTTGTCAAAAAATTTTCAAACCCATACAATTTGTATGAAGCATAGCGAAACAACGTGGCGTCAACGCTGAGCAGTTGGAAAATTCGATTTTGACAGGGCGTTAGGTAGCGAAGTTGGCTGCAGAAAACGGCGAAACTGTCATTTACGTGTTTCACACAACCAAGCCTATGCTTATTGTTGGTGTTACTTCTGCATTTGTCGTAGCATTGACGCTTTTGTTTAAGGCCGGTCCTCATAGAACTTTCGAGTTGGCTTTGGCGTTGGCGTTCGTTTGACAGAACGCGCATTAAGGGCCGGTTCAATGTCTGATTAGCACTAATCGGAGGTAGAAGCTCTGGTTAAATACAATGACTGCTTTATCGATCACATGTTATATGCCTGATGTCGAAAACGTCGATAATGATGTTCAATCGGCATGTAGTGATAACCAGACAAAATTAACATACTAACGACAAATAAATTAATATTTCATATCAATAATTGCATGACAAGCGATATTTCTTGCCCACATTTGAATAAAAATTAAAAATGTTTCACATAATTGTTACGGTCTCCGCCGAGCGTGCCAAGTACCAACGCAAAACAATGTATACGTTTAATTTCAAGAACGTTTATTAATTCAACAACTTAATAAATAAACAATTTAACTATTTCGGAAAAACTTATGTGTGGTTAAATCACGCTGGTGGTGTCCAAAAACTCGAGCTAAGAATCGTCCCTGTCTAGTTCGTAAAAATGGCGTATTATATCTTCGCGCAGGGTTGATCGCGCAGGGTTGTATTCCTAAGGATTGAGAATACTACTTTTATTTCGCATTCCTCAACATCTCCTCATGTTAGGAAGTTTCATAATCAGCCAACCAGGCGGGTGGTCTGCGAGGCCTGTGACTGGTTGGTGGTTGACTATTGGCTTCTGCATTTGTATCTAAACCGGATGAGGTGTTTAACTCCAAAACTGGCGTAGCGTCGGCTGCTACTGGTTGTGATGTAGTTCGATTATCGTCATCGAACCGTGGTAGGTCGGTAAGATCAAAAACATCGCATAAATACTGAGCTGCATTGCGATTACTAAAATGATTTCCATAACGCTTAATAATTTTGTTTGCATGCGCTCTGACTAGTTTCGGGTTGCCTTTTACTTCAACTCTGACCTTGTAATTTACATTTCCGATCCGTTCTATGATTTTGCCCGGGACCCAAAACGTATCGTTGCCTTGATGCCATTTAACGTTTACCAGGTTTAATTAAATCCAGCATTGTTTTGATTTGTCGGTTGATGAACGCCTCTGCTGGCGATTTACGCTCCAATACATTTGGATTTGGTGTGGACCTATATGTCTGCAAAAATGTTTGCAAGTTTTCTAAATCTGTTCCTTCCTCTTTTAACTTTAGTAATGCCCTTTTCAGCGTATCTACAAACCGTTCGGCCTGTCCATTGGACTGGGGATGATAAGGCGATGTTCTTATTTGCTGGATGGCCCGCGATTTTAAGAATTGTTGAAACGTTGCACTTGTAAATTGCGTACCGTTATCAGATACCAATATTTTACAATCTCCATAACGTGAAAACATTTCATTGAGCTTGCTAACGATTGTTTGCGTTGTAATGTTGGTTATTTGAAAAATTTCTGGAAATTTTGAAAATGCGTCCACGATTAAAAAATAGTAAACCCCATTGCATGGTCCTGCTATATCAATATGTATCCGTTCCATAGGCTGTGTTGCTAAAGGCCATGATTGTAATGTATGTTTTATAGGCAATTTAGCTGCCGATGCACAAAGTTGACAATTTCGCGTATACGTTGCTATAGCCTCGTCAATACCAGGCCAATATACGTAACACCGCGCTAATAATTTCATCCGTTCCTTGCCTGGATGTCCTCTATGTAGTTGACGTAAAATTTGTGTTTGTAGTTTCTCTGGAATCACAATGCGTTCATGAAACATCAAACAATCTTGAATCACGCTAAGTGCATCTTTACGTGCATGAAATGGACGTAATTCCTGCGGTATTTCTTGCTGCCATCCATTGTATAATGCATTTATGACTGATTGTGCTGTTGGGCATTGCTTTGTTGCTTTTCTGATCATTTCGAAGCTCACAGGTAGTTTTGCACATTGATCTTGAATGATCGTGTTCATTTCTTCTTCAAGTTGAGTACAAGCGATAACCATATCTTCATCTTGCTTTGTGTGATTTGCAATAAGTCGTGACAGCATGTCAACACAACCAAAATCTGTTGTTTTTACGTATTGTATGTTGAAATCGTACATCATTAATATAAGCGCCCACCGCTGAAGTCTATTTGCTGCATAAGTTGGAATGCCCTTATTTTTGCCAAATATTGCTAATAGCGGCTTATGGTCTGTGCAAAGTGTGAACTTACGACCGAAAATGTAGCGATGAAATTTCTTTAGTGCAAAAACTAAAGCTAAAGCTTCTTTTTCAATTTGCGAGTATTTTTGTTCTGCCTCTGTTAAAGTTTTGGAAGCATGTTGCATTACTTTTTCTGAACCGTCTGGGAAAACATGGCAAATGAACGCTCCAATACCTTTATTGGAGGCGTCTGCTGCCACTTTTATTGGTAAACTTGGATTATAATGCGTAAGCATTAAATCTGAGTTTAAAATGGTTTTAAATTCCTGGAAGGCTTTTTGACAATCAGCGTTCCAAATAAATTTTTCATTTTTATGAAGTAATTTGTCTAAAGGTGCTTTGATTTTAGACATTTTCGCAATAAATTTGCCATAATAATTTACACTGCCCAGAAAAGCTCTGACTTCCGCTACATTCCTGGGCTCTGGTAGTGCTAAAATCTAGTTAATTTTCGAAGGATCAGGTTTAATGCCTGTCTTGCTTAAAATGTTTCCAAGATATTTCACTTGCGCAGCGAAAAATGTACATTTGTTGAACTGGACATGAAATTTATACTTTTGTAGTTGTTGTGCAACTTTATGGAGGTTTCCAATATGTTTTTCAAAAGTTGCCCCGCCTATGATGATGTCATCAATATAGGCGACAGTATCGTCTATGCCTGACAGTATGGTGTCCATGATTTGCTGGAATGCGCCCGGAGCGCTTTTGATACCTGGTGCGAGCCGATTGAACGTGAATAACCCCTTATGTGTTAGGGCCGTTTGCACCATGTCTAGTTAATTCTAACTCCCAGTTAAACATCTTTATCGACGTTATCGACACCCATCATATAACATGTGATCGATAAAGCAGTTAACGTGCTTAACTGAAGGATGTACCTCCAGTTAGCGTTAACTAGACATGGTTCAAACGGCCCTTAATGGTGAGTAACTTGGCTGACTCTGACGTGACAGGTACTTGAAGATATGCATCTGATAAATCTATCACTGAGAAGCAATGACTTCCCGCGACTTTTGCGTAAATTTCTTCTGGAGTATGCAGAGGATACTGATGTGGCTCTAAACATGCGTTTAGTCCTGACGAATAATCCCCACAGATACGAACTTTGCCAGATGGCTTCTTTACTGCAACGATGGGTGCTGCCCATTCGGAAAAATCTACTGGAGTAATAACGAATAGATGCTGCAATCTGTCTAGTTCTTCTTCAATCAACGGTAACATGGAATATGCTACTGGTCTTTTAGCACGAAAGACTGGTTGTACATCTGGTTTCAAGTACAATGTTGATGTAACTGTGCTACATTTTGCTAAAGTTGGCTTGAAAATGTCTGCATAATCTTGTTGTAGCTTTGTTAACAGCGTAGCTTGTTGAACTTCTGCCGAATTTATACTGTTAAAGATGAGATTGAGAGGTTTTTCCCACAGGCGGAAAATATCACACCAGTCAACACCTAAGACGTGCAAGGAATCAATATTTGTTACGAGTAATTTACAATGCTGTACTTCCCCGTTTAACCGAACTTCACAAGGAAATTCGGCTATTAGCTGAATTTTATCCTTTGAAGCGCTGGTGACGTATTTGTTGACCAAACGAGTACCAGGTTGACCCATTTTCATCCATGTTGACTTTCCAATTAATGATACGTCTGAGGCTGTGTCTACCTGCATTTTGACATCATATGGCGGAAATGCTGAATTTGCGGCTGCTACCGGCTTTATGGTGACTGTTGCGCATTTTCGTCGAGTAACATGCGTTATCGAATTGACTTGTAGCCTATGGTTCTGGCCCTTGTTTACCTGCTGCTTATGTCGCTGTTGTTTAGTGGTTTTTCCTTTGTTGGCACTGTATGAATTACAATACCCATCCTTATGACCGTATTTATTGCACTGCTTACATTTTTGACTACGGTATGGACAGTAATTTGAGTAATGCATTTCTCCGCAATTCCAACATGGCGTTTTCGGAATCTTTGCTTTATTTGTTTTGTTATTTTTATTTGTGTCGTTCTTGCTTTGGCGTGCACTTGTATGTATTGCGTTGGTAATGATGGCTTTTGTTTCCTCTACCATTGCTGTATCTTTTTTTAAATTGATAAACTTTTGCGCATGGCTTACAAGCGAATTCAAAGTCTGCTGTGCATTTTCTTCAAGTTTTGCTAATGTTTTTATACGTATTTCAGCATCAGTATGCGATTGTAAACCGAACACGTAGATGAGACACTTAAACTGATCTACTGAAAGTTCTGCCAACCTGAACTTTTCACAGTGCGCATTGACTCTGGCTGCATATGATACCAGGTCCTCCTGTGGATTTTTACTCATCTGCAAACATTTGTACCGCAAGCTGAAAAGCGATTCATTTGCACCAAACATCTCTCCAAGCTTAGCGACTGTCTCACTGAAGTTAAAATGACGAGGATTCTTTGGTAAAATGTATGTTGCATACTTATTATATGCGATTGGATTTAACTTCCCCTTAAAAGTCGGACGCGTGATGCGTCATCCAATTCTTTGCCATCTACCAAGAAAATGTCTTCATGACGTGCATACCACGTGTCAAATGTAAGTGCGCTCGCGGCGTCATAACAGAATTCCGTAATACTGTTTGCCAATGACTCCATCAACTGTTCTCTTGAATTCTTGGAATTCTCCACTGGCTGCTGTGCTTTTAGTGCCAGTTGCTCCAGAATTTTAGTCTGCATTTGCAACAGTTGCATGACTTCATTATTTTGTGCCATATTTATTTGTATTACACGCTCTAGTTTGTAATTTGCAAATCCACTATTCTCGTCGCCACTTTGTTACGGTCTCCACCGAGCGTGCCAAGTACCAACGCAAAACAATGTATACGTTTAATTTCAAGAACGTTTATTAATTCAACAACTTAATAAATAAACAATTTAACTATTTCGGAAAAACTTATGTGTGGTTAAATCACGCTGGTGGTGTCCAAAAACTCGAGCTAAGAATCGTCCCTGTCTAGTTCGTAAAAATGGCGTATTATATCTTCGCGCAGGGTTGTTCGCGCAGGGTTGTATTCCTAAGGATTGAGAATACTACTTTTATTTCGCATTCCTCAACAATAATTTTATTTGTTTGCAACAGCTCATTGATAACGCGCGCAAAAGATGAGAGATGCCCATCTTTTTGTGTGCGTTAACTTTGGCGTTGGCGTCGCCGTTGACATGTCCATATATCATAAGGTCCATTCAATAAGTACTTGCAGCGAGAGCGTAAAATAAAAATAGAGAGTAAAATTGAGAGCAGGAGAAAATTTTCAGAAAAAGTTATTGAACGCAAAACTAGTAAAAACTTGCACATTTAGGGCCGGTTACTCAATGTCCGGTTAATCGATAGTTTTGATAGTTTTCAGAAAAACTATCAATATTCACGATAGTCTCGAAAAAACAAAACTATCGATAGCGCTATCGATAGTGCTATCGATAGTGATAAATCAGTTAGGTTGCTTTGTTTTTACAGGATCATAGTGAAAAAAATATTATCTTATAAAAGTTATAATCATTCAAAATTAAGTAAATGCTTAGCCAAAATACTTCTCCTTTTAGAAAGTTCAAAAACAAACACAAGTTATACAAATAAAACAGGATTTACGATTAACATATGTATGTATTTTGGCCTAAATGCGTGCATATTTGAATACGACGTCGGCATCACACTAAAAAGCAAAATCTTTAATTCAAATAATTTCAAAATAATTGGTAGAGATGATCGATAGTCCTACTAAACTATCAATATTTTTGATAGTATAAGAAAAACTATCAATGAGTATTGATAGTCTAAAAAAATTGAAACTATCGATAGTGCCATCGATAGTTTGACAACTCTACCGGTTAACACTAATCTCCGGTAAAACATCGTTATCGACGTCTACGACTCCATGCATACAACAGGGAGTCGGTAACGTCGATAACTATGTTTAACCGGGGATTAGCGTTAACCAGACATTGAGTAACCGGCCCTAAGCCATTTTGACACTTCCTGACGGTTAAGTTTTGGCGCGCAGTTTTCTTTTTAATTGGGAATAGTTCCCATCGTNGTGCCATCGATAGTTTGACAACTCTACCTCATATAACAGAAAACTCACTTCTGTGCTCTTGAGTTTCCCTATAAGAACTTTTATTGGCATACGCATCGCACCAATGTTGTAGTTGCAAGATCATACAAAAAGATTACGCATGCTTGGCAGAGATCTCACAGGTGGAAATAAGACCATTGGTAAAGCTCATGACACCAAAAG